TCGCAATTATTGTCGTATAGAATTAAATACATCATTTTAATTTAGAAAGGAGTCTGTTAGTTATCAGATGGCAGCCCTTTGATATTGTCTGGATGAAAAAAAATTATGTTTGAACCAGTTTTGTACCCAATAATTAAAAAAAGACAAAAAATCCGATTCCAATCAAAAAAATAATTGGACAATATCTACAGAATAATCATGGAAGACGTTAAAAATGGACATGTTAGAACAGGGATAAAATATTTAAGATTTTCCGATGATTGTCATTGCTAGTTTCGATGGAAGAGCTGCAGATCCATAACAGTCAGCTAAGTAAAGCAATTAAAAAGATTTTACAGGATGTTTTTGGTATTAAATCAAATAATATAAAGCAAATTTATATCCACTGAAAGCCATAAATCGGTACCAATCTAATGGCAGGTTGAAGGTTGATATTAAGGTACCAACTGCGATATTCCAAAAAAAAATTTATATATTAATTATGTCGTTTAAAAATAATATGTATTTTCTTGTGATGAAGTTATTTTTAATTTTGAAGCGTTGTAAAAATTTTCATTGTTTTTCAATTCTACACTTATTTTCATTGTAACGTACAATCTTCTTTCTTTCATTTAATAAAATACATTTCTGATTGCTCCTTTTACAGAATCATTTACATCATTAGTTTTTATCTTCGGTAAAATGTGTCTTTGTCCTAGCGTTATTAGTGCTATATATCCCATGTTTTCCTTATGAAAAGTTATGGAAAAATTCTAAAACTTTCTAAAAAATTCTAAAAAAAGACTTATCGTGCATACAAGTTCCAGATGAGGCTTGGTTTTGTCTTTCTAAATATGGTATTTCAAAGAATATCAGGTAGTGGTCAACTGAAAATCCTCATTATTTATTGAAGAACCATTGCATCGCCAAAAGTTGATGTTTAGACGTTAATGGGCAGTAATTTTTGTAGTTTTATGTAAATTTTGCCATTATTGCCAAACTCTGTTAAATCTAAGTTAAATGTCTTTAGTATTAATGATCTTATTCTTTTAATCAAAATTAGCTCCTTATTATCTAGCGGTAGTAGTACTAGTAGATTAGATACTCTTCAATCTATAACGGTACGGACATTTAAACAAAATTTAAAATGGTAACCAAACTAAAAACCTTTCTTAAATCAATTAGAATTAAGTCGTTTTAATATCTACGTCGCATTTATCGTACGAATTAGAAACCGCTGACGACGTCGTTCTAAAATTGTGATAAGAATTTAGCAATTTCATTGGTGCTTTTCTATTATCACTTATCACCTAATCCCGCACTTCCATGCTTGTTTGCTGTTTACACTTTTACAATTATACAAGTTTAATGCATTTGTTGCGAGGAGGGACTTCACACCTTAATGGGTTTTGCGCTTGGTCGACCAATGGGTTAAAGGTTTTTTTATGGAGTCTTGGACTTGGTTAAGCGCTTACTAACATCGTTAGTTGTTAATTGTAGTATTTCTGTAAATAAGATTTCAAAACTAACTTTAATTGTTCTTAAATTAGAGTACACATTTTTTATGTAGTTCCAGAGAAAAAAGAAATTACCCCTTTATACTATATACTATAATTTTCTGGTTGATATGTTTACCTACAGTTATTAAACGAGAAAGGTAACACCAGCTTCTTTAAATTTAAGAATTCAAGTTTTTCAAAATAATAATATTTGATCTCAATATGGAACCTTGAGAGATCTACAATGATGTTTGTGGTTTCACACTCATAGAAAATTCATGGAAACCAATTTAAAATCCAAAATAAAATAGATATGTCCATACCATTCTATAAATTAAACATTTAAAGAAAATTTTGTGATTAAAATGTTGAAAATCAACCAGGTAAAATAATAAAAAAAATAGTTTACCACTTTACCAGTCCACCAGTCGTCTATCACGGTTGTTCCGCTCGATCCGAATCAAACATAGGACCTGGTGCACAGATAGGATTAATTCTTGGCGTTGGTTGGGTCGAAAACAAGAAAAAGGGATCGTTTCTTCTGTCACTAATGCAGCAAGTAAATTTCTCAATGTCTAAAACGACCCTTCCAATCCTATCTGCTCAAGGCAGTTAGGTAAATCTTTCTCCTCTATTTGATATGCTCCTAGGTATAGTGCCCTTGGATTCTGGAGTGCTACACATTCGGCTAGAATATGAATAGAGGTTTCGTCCTCCTCCTCACAGACTCTGCACTCACTATCTTCTACAACTCTCAGTTTATTAAAGTGTACTTTAAGTCGACAATGCCCGCTTAGGACCCCTGTTACAATGCGTAGCCTGTTCTTGCTCAGACAAATACAGGCTTCCGATCTATTCTGGTTATATTCACCCAAAAATATCTTAGCTTGTCTTAGCCTCAAGAGATTGTTCCAATTATCGGTTATTCTACTGCCCAATTCTTTTTTAGTCTCTCCTAATATTGCTTTACTGCTGATACCGCAGAACGGCCCAGGTCCCACAAAGGGTGTTTGAGTCCCTTTCCTTGCGAGACCATCTGCAATCTCGTTACGCTTTACGTCGTTATGTCCCGTTATTTTCCTTGTCTAGCTTATTCAGTTTTTCTAGGTATCTCCAAACCATTATTTCTAGCTGATTACGTAGGAGATTAGCGCTTTGACAGCTATCGGACATGATGATAATCTTTTGTCTACGATAGTTTCTCTAAACTGGATACACTTCTCAACAGCATGAATTTCCGCCTCGAAGATGCTTGAGTATTTTCCCAAACTTTCAGAGTGTCTGGTTCTAGGACCATACACTCCTATTCCAGTTCCTTTTATGATTTTGGAACCATACGTATACCACTAAATAGCATGTCTTTCGGTTGCAAGCGCGATGGATTCTTGGCTTCATTCTTCCTTACCTATGTGGTTTTGAAGTTTTTTCACAAAACTGTACTTCTTTTTCATTTCATCCTGGGGCCTATCCCAAGTATCTTCAGTCATGAAGCTAGTAGACTTTCGTATGATTACTCCGTTCCTGATCATTCTATATCGTGTCCTTTTTGCTACATTCTCTATCATTAAATGTAGAGGGGTGAGGTTTAAGATCGCCTCTATTGCAGCCGTATGACAGGTTCTCATTGCATCGGTAATGCAAACATAAGCTAGTCTTTGTACTTTTGAGTTATTAGCTCTCGTAGTAGCTAAACTAGTTCTGTTATAGCTTCGCAAGTGATGATTGGTCCACTATTGCTGTATATATCCATCGCAGTGTGTTACATCCCATCTTTTGACCGCAATCTTTCTGCATACCGTTAGGGCTTTTGTTGCTTTATTTACTACTTCCTTCTCATGTATGTTCCAGAGAATTTTATCGTCCAGGGTTAGGCCTAGATATTTGACTTCTTTTTCCATTCAATTTCCATCCCCTATCACAAAGTACATACCATAGATGCAGGCTGCGACCCGGATAACGTCAGCACCTAGCTACAAATTCACACAAAACATTTACTGATGAATTCCATCATGGAAAACTGGTGTGAACTGCTTATTTGCCAGTTGAGGTTATTTCAATCATGAAAAATGGTAAATCCTTATGATGCTGCCTTAAGCCTCTATCGTAATAGAAACCATGTCTAACTTCACATGCGAATGGCCAGGCTTTTGGCGGTAATATATTATGCTGCTTCACTGTACTAAGCTCACTCAGCAATAGTAATAATAACTTACCCAGAATCATATCAAGAAGACCACGTTAAATATTATACATAAAAAGGTGCTCAATCTAGCAGCTTGTTAGGACGACTTAATCTAACAAGCGTCGAACCAAAAGATTGTCATCTTTGATTTCTTGGAACATATTCATGTGACCTAGTTCGCTAATTCTTAGCCCATCTGCCTTTACACTGCAGACAAGAAACTAACTACTTACTACCTATTCTATTCAAATAACCCACACACGTAGGTATACCTGGTTTCATATAGATATGTCATAATTTTAATTTTTAGCACAGAATATAATAATACGTACAGTAGATGAAATGCAAATTCAGATAAAGTGGTCAACATTTATGTTTATTCAATGAATTGAACTCATAGATTCTTGCTCTGTATATGAGTCCAATCAAAAATAATTGATAAAATCATATTGTTTACTAAAAATAGTACTTGTTCATATAGGTACCCAGCGTGAAAAAATACATCATATGCAATCTTCTTGTATTTCCTTTGAGAGGAGTTAATCACTCTGTGATCAATAATTTTAATCATAATATGTACTACCCATAGAAATATCGGCAAGCTAAATCTGGATCCATTAAGCTAGTATCGAATGTTAGAATTATGAATAATTGTTATTAATATTAATGTAAATTGTAAAAGAGCATACCTACAAGTGCAAATGTCTGCACTCAGCGCTAGGATAATTTATCTCAATTTAAAATTATTATATCCGAATGAATTGGAAGTCATTACGTTACTTTACATGAATAATTCAAGATTTTCAATCAGAATATTAAAGTTAGTGGCAATTACCAGGAGTATGGTCGTTGACAAGTTTTTCTATGATAATTCGTCTCTAGCTATATGAGAATTTATGGAAAAAAAAATAGATTAACATAAGTACAAATATGACATTTTGAAGTTTTACGAATAACCAGTTAAAAAAATTAAGTTAAATTTCAAAATTGACGTATTGGGTTATTTTTTATTAGAGTACAAAAATGTGTATCTAAATATTTTTTAAAAACACTCAAAAATTAAATGAAACCAAAAAATTATTTTGTTATATACAGCAACGACAATTAAAGTTATAAAAATGGACGAAATAATATATCATTTCATTTAGAAACAAAATAGATGAATTATCAGATCACACTGTAAGTATGAATATTTTTAAACGAAATTATTAACATTTTGTACTCGTATCTTATTTTTGATAGGCATGAAACAACAAGATACAATCTTAATTTATATTGAAAAAAATATAGTGAGTAAGATTTAGATAAAAGTAAAAGGTATATATTTTTCATAAACTTACCTTTTCATTTTGGTATGCTGTGACTGCTATAAATTCGGTTTCCTTGAAGACGTACGTTCGAAACGTCGAATAAGGAAGTTTTAGAATGTCATTAGCCCTAACTAAGTGAAACCTGGGTTGGTATTTGTGCATCGAGTTCAATATCGTCTGAAACAAAATAAAAAACTATTACTTACTTAAACCAAAACAGAATCACATAATTTTAATTAGATATATTATTGTACAGTGCGTTATTTTTTTAATACTGACAAAGATAAAATAATACATGCAATCCCACTACCGGTAGAGATGTCTCCAATCATGAGTCGTCAACCACTTTATTCTCTTTGACTCTCTCAAGACCAAATATAATTAAAATTATCGTCTTTATTTTGCTTGATGCGTTGGTTAACGTACTGTATAATGATGTTTTCTGCGCACATATTATTTGACTTGAAAGATCTTAATATAAATGTATAATTTCAATAATAAAAATGACTAGCCTAAGAATGGTACCTTAAGGTAAACTATGTTCATTAATGTATGTATGAAATAAATGATGGAATGGCGAAGATTTGAAAGTTGTTTTAGTGATACCTGAGTTTCGACGGTAATGAAGGCAGAAAATTTTAAAGCCCATATAAAACCTCAATAAGTAGCAGGTGGAAAAACTCATAGGGACCAAAAAGTAATGAAATTAGTAAGATTTTTGAAGAGGGCTAAAAATTAAAATTGGGACATTCGTTTTTTGAACAGCTCCAAAACATAAAAGAAAAGAAGAAAAATTATATTTCATTTCTCGATTATGAGTTTCTATGACAGTTTGTAAATAATTATATTCACTGATCTATTATTATTATTATTATTATTATTATTATTATTAAACTCCTACTTAATCAGCTCAAAAATGGTCTGGAGATGCCTAGAAATACTGAATGACCAAGGCGAGGAAAATACAGTTACTCTCACTTGGGACAAAACTGGGTGAAGGGTAATGAGATTGCAGATAGTCTCGCAAGGAATAGGGCTCAAACACCTATAGATTATTCTCTAACTTTCAGCAGCAGCATCTAAAGCACTAAGCGGACTTCTCAGCAAAGTTCGATCACTAAAACAACAAGCATGCAATTATGGTATTCTCTAATGCTAAACGATTTTGCTATTCTTAAGTGATTTTCATTTTTAACCGACTTGAATGTCAAAACTGGAAGTGCGTACAGCAAAACGATACTCATGTGTAACTTTTTTGAAAGCTCTTTATATTTTCAAACACGAACAGCACACCAAATAAAGAATACCAAAACGTGTGTGCTTTATACATTTATTGTGTACGGCATTTCTAGAGAGACACACCGAGTGCTTTCAAAATCGTTGGTTAGAGAATAAACTCCCTGCTGAGCCCTTCTGCGGTATCAACAGTAACATAATATTAGGAGAGATTAAAAAAGAATTGGACAGTAGAAGAACCGACAATTGGAACAATCTCTTGAGGTTAAGACAGACTAAGTTACTTTTTGGTCAATATAACCAGAAAAGTTCGAAAGCCTGTATCAGCATGGGTAAGAACAGGCTACGCATTGTAACAGGGATCCTTACCGGGCATTGCCGACTCAAACGACACCTTAGTAAACTGAGAGTAATAGAAGATAGTGAGTGCAGATTGTATGAGGAGGAGGATGAAACGTACATTCACATTCTGACTGAATGAGTAGCACCCCAGAATCTAAAGCTACTATACCAAATAGTAAATAGTAGAGGTAGATCTACCTCACTTAAAGCCACTTTAAATCATACACTTTCTTGAGAAGTATGATTGGAAGGGTCATTATAAACATCGAGACTATAGATCTTTTAGGTCGCAGTGTATTAATAACCTATACCCAACATAACATAACCTCCATTTCCATTTGTCATTTAATTTTATGTAAAAAATATGATGAAGTTCCTTTTTTTGTGGAAAACAAGTGACAAAACTATCTGTTATTTTCATTAAATGTCTAGATATTAAAGACAAACTTGCAAATCTACTCTAAGTATGATGGTAGCGCAGATTCTTGATGTTTAAAGCTGGAGTCAATACTGGATAGAGGCTAAAAATGGAGCAACGTTTAGAAGACTATAAAAAGGTTAGTTTATGTCAAAATACGATAGAAATTTATTATTATTATTATTGCAAGAAAAATCAAAATTTTGGAATCTAATGAACATAGAAAGCATTTATTAGGATTTAATAGTTCAGTCAGCTTTTGGTGAATTATAGAAAGAGTATTATTATTTTACAAATTAAACATTTCCGAATAAAATCCATTTTAGTATTTTATTGAATTTCAAATTTGCGCGCAATTATTTGCCCAAATGGTCCAACTCATGGCATTTCCGGTCTCCTTGTTGGCGAACATTTTCACGATGTGAAATATATCCAATCTAGCGAATATTACAGATCAGTGACTATATTAGATTATCTGGATAAGTTTCTTAATTTAGCAATTTTTAGAAATATATAGAATAGATAATAAAAGCCAGTAAAGAACACCAACTGTCGTCATCTTTATCAATTTGTTGTGCAGTTAGCTTTAAAAAAACCGCAATAACTCGCGGCAACCAGATTATGTTTCTCACATATGTCTTGGTTAATTATCAGCTAATTAAGACATCATCTGAGGATATTAAAAACTCAATCATTTCATGATTGAAAAGAAACGTTAAAATCATAAATAAATCCTTGCAACGTTTAATTAATACAAATGATAATCATAAGACTGAGACGTTTTAGAATTTCGATAAAGTTGGAGATTTTCTATAATTAATAACTAATGGTAAAGGCAGCCATTGGTGGAACAAAAATAATTGTTTGAATACATGCACGAAAAAATTCACATTAAATGACATTTCACTGCAGTGTTTTTGTTTAAATCCTTATGGAAACCACTGTTGAAAATGGATTTGGGGTGAAGAATTAGGACACATGTATCATTTATCTTGCTACGACACGTTGTTGATGAAAATATCGGTAAATTAATTTAGAATCAATAACCGTGGATATGGTTAAAAAGATTTATTCAATTCATATTGTTAGTTAACATCAAACAACGTTAGCAATGTTAGTATTGACGTTAAATATTTATTAAATTCAATGTTTTTGTTGATATCTACCTGAAGAAGATATGATGATGATTTTGTTAAATAGAAAACGCCGGCCCGAATTCAATAAAATGGATTTTTGTTCCCCGTCAGATTTTTTGCGCTTGTTTAATAATATACACCATTTATAACCTTTTTATTTAAAAATGGATTTGTTGTTAATTTATTTTTAAATTTTCTAATTGTATCTATATTTTGGTATATAAGTAAAACTACAAATCACGTCAAGAGATCTATCTGTCTATGGAAATTAGCGTCTTCGATTTTGTCGTAAATTTAAATTAACAAAGAAGCAGATGCTGTGAATTATGCTCATTAAGAGCTTCTAGTAAAAGGTGTGAAAACGGTTATTTTATGAAAATTTATGACTAACTCAACATTTTGCATAATATACGAAACAATAAAGAACGAAACTGAATAAAGTCATCTTAACTGGTATGACACAAACATTCAATATCAATGAAAAGTTACAAGATAACTGGTTTCGGCCCTAGGGGCATCATCATGTCTGTAACTACAAAAGAAAACACTTTAACAAAATTTGTGTAAAAATTAAAGTTATACATAGAATATGTTAAGTTTCATACAATTACTCCCGAAGAACAGTATAGAAAAAGTGCTCGTCAGCCCACTATGGTAGAAGAATATCCGTCTGTTTAATCACAGCAGGCAGACAGTCGATTCACAAGAGTCTCTCCTTATTTTTCTCTCGTGCAAATATAATTAAGCGTCGCATCTTTATTTCGAAGAATTCATGGGTTAACATATTGTATACATATACTTAAAAAAATAGTTGAAATGAATGCTTTTGTGTCTAAAGAAAAACATTAAACATTTGTGGTTACTACCAAGAACCCTTGTGAGAAGAAAATATAACTGTGCCTATAGATAATAATTACAAATGTTTAATGTTTTTCTTGAGATGTTCAAGCATTGGTTTAAACTATTTTTTTAAGTATATATAACTTTAACTTGTACAAAAACTTTGTTAACAGTGTTTTCTTTGGTAAGACATGATGATAGCTCTAGAGCCGAAACCGGTTGTCTTGTAACATTTTGTTTGTTTTGATTCATTGATTTTAAGTCATTGTTTTAGCATAAAAAATTAATAGGTGCATTGTGGAATGACAGATTGTTATATGACGTGGTGGGTGACGTGATTAAAAAAGTGGAGGAAATGGTTTAAAGTAAGCAGTCTAAAATGAAAACAACAAAATGGAAAGGGATGCATTGACACATTATACAAGATAAGATTGCAATAAATAATATATTGATTTGGAATATACTAGTATAAATTAGGAATATACTACAATAGCAACAAAAACTAATAAATAAATATGTTTTAGACCAATTTATGTACGCCACTGATAATAAGGTAGAGCATTCTAAATGAAAACTATAATGAGTGGCAATTCTTTCCATGTCCTTCTTTCCCATAATCCACATTGACAGGTGTTAGATGAAAGAGTGTATAAATAAAATTTACATAAAATTATAACGTGAATAACTAATAACATTTATTATAATTTTTTAAATTGTTTACAAGAAATGTTTAAGTGCCATTTAACACGACATTTTTTTTTAAATCGACATTATAGGAATGCTAAAAAACGGGTTATATATAGAGAGAAATAATTGAATTCTTTTTTTATAGATATAATTTTGCGAACAATTCAAATTTGAATGTATCGAATCATTGTTATTGATAATATAAAAAGATCGTCTTAACAGAGCATTTTTGAATACTTACCTATGCATAAAACGCCAATTTAGAGAAAAAGTAGAGTTGATCAAAATTCAAGTAAATCATGAAGATGTTTTGTTTCCTCAATATTAACAAATTAAATTTTCGTTAATATTGTTCTAGAATATATTTAGGAAATCGATCTAAAAAGTTGTAACGATTGTCAGTTTACCAAGATTATCGTCCAACTCTATTAGACATCCGTGTCGCAGTGGAAGGCGACCTCATTTTCAACCTAACCTTACTTTGGTAGCCTTTCATCAATGTAAAACTTATATTTTAA